AGGTTCTTGGCCCACATACCCATGTGGGAGACTGAGATGAAACTCTTGGCTCCTGGCATCTGGCTTTTGGTTCAATCCTGGCTGCTTCAGCTATTTGGGGAATGAGCCAGCAGGTGGAAGACCTTTTTGTCTCTTGCTATAACTATGCCTTTCATATAAATAAAAAATGAACAAATCTTTTAAAAAAATACACATACACACAGCTATGACAAGGGTTGTGGCACAGCCAGTTAAGCCACAGCCTGCGATTCAGCATCCTGTACCAGGGGTTGGTTCATGTACCAGGTGTTTCACTTCTACATCAGGGAAAGCAGTCACTAATGGCCAAAGCACTTGGTTCCCTGTCACCAATGTGGGAGACCCAGACAGAGTTCTAAGTTCCTGGCTTTGTCCTGGTTTTTGACTGGATCAAACCTGGCTGTTGTGGCCATTTGGGGAGTGAACCAGCATATAGAAGATTTCTCTGCCTCTCTGTCACTCTGCCTTACAAATAAACAACTCTTTAAATACACACACAGATACACCAAGGGAGTAATGGATATGAATCCGTATTTTGAACCCAAGTCTCATCAGATCTAAAGTATATTTTCTTTCAATCACACCACATGGGTGGCCCATAGAACTCCTGGCTGCTTCATACAGACAGGAAGCTGAGCAGAGTTTGGAATTACACAGAAAAGCAAAAGTAATCCTTGGCATCATTACCCAGTCTCCTGTGAAAATGGGTGTTGGGAGGGTGGTTTAGGGTGGGGATTTGTGGCTAGAGTAAGTGGTGAATCTTAGATGATGGGAGCAAAGGGAGAACATCAACATGGTCAAGCAGTCACTCCTGGGAGAACACATTGATGTGGTAACATCCCAGGCGCAGTTCAGTGTTTCTTAATCCTACCAACATTACTCAGTGCTTGGGCTACAGCCCTGTGCTGCTGACAAACACTCTGCAAGCCTGAGCTGTGGAATACTTTTTCGTCATTTAAAATTAAAATAATTTCAACATACTCATGATGGTACTTGTGTGCCCACTGAGGAAAACTGGGCAGAAGCCCAGGATTTAAGGAAGGGTCACCTTTGGCTCACTCCGTCTTGCATACAGGCTCCACCTTCCTCTTTCCAGTTCCCAATATCACTGGAAAGGCATAGGTTTGTACACCTCAACACACCAGCCCCAGTCATACAAAGGCACCCAAGGGTGCCCTGACTAAGCATGGTTCCATCCTACCCATTCCTCAGCCCTGAGCATGTTGCTTTCCCTCTTGCAACCCAGGGAGTCAGCAGAATGGCAAGAAGGTGACTTGGCAGGTGCAGAGGACCGCGGCTATCTAGTCAGTGAGAAGATGGCATTGACTATGTTAAATATGTTTAACATGTTTACAGGGCCAGTTTCCAAAATGTTGGCATCTGCTCTCTTGTTCATTTAGGCTTGACTCTCAGATGATTATAGAAAACAGAGACTAGTGTGCTCATGCCACCAATGGGAGGACACAGCCCAGAAGCATTAGTATGGCCATCCTGATATGTGTGGAACTAGGAAATCAGAAAAAGCATAAGTTTGGGGCCAGCATGGTGGTGTATCAGACCGGATCTCCACCTGTGCAGCAGACATCCCAGACAAGTGCCAGTTCAAGTCCTGGCTGCTGGGCCCGGCGCGGTGGCGCAAGTGGTTAAGTCCTCGCCTTGCACGCCCAGGATCCCATATGGGCGCCGGTTCTAATCCTGGCAGCCCCGCTTCCCTTCCAGCTCCCTGCCTGTGGCCCCGGAAAGCAGTCGAGGACGGCCCAAAGCTTTGGGACCCTGCACCCGCGTGGGAGACCCGGAAGAGGCTCCTGGCTTCGGATCGGCATAGTATCGGCCCGTTGCGGCTCACTTGGGGAGTGAATCATCGGACGGAAGATCTTCCTCTCTGTATCTCCTCTCTGTATATCCGCCTTTCCAATAAAAAAAAATAATAATAAAAATAAAAAATTAAAAAAAAAAGTCCTGGCTGTTCCACTTTTGATCCAGCTTCCTGCTAATATATCTGGGCAGGCAGTGGAAGATGGCACAAGTCTTAGTTCCTTTTACCTAAGCAAGAAGACAGGAAGAAACTTTTGGCACCTCGTTTTCATCTGCCCCCCCACCCCCTGGTCATTTGAGGAGTGAACCAGTGATGGAAGATCTTTCTCTTCTTCTCCTCTCTCTATAACTCTGTCTTTCTACAATAAAAACATTTTTTAAAAGATTTATTTATTTTTGTTGCAAAGTCAGATATACAGAGAGGAGACACAGAGAGGAAGATCTTCCATCTGATGATTCACTCCCCAAGTAACCGCATCAGCTGGAGCTGAGCTGATCTGAAGCCAGGAACCAGCAACCAGGATCTCTTTCTGGGTCTTCCACAAGGTCCCAAGTCTTTCTGGGTCTCCCACAAGGTCCCAAGGCTTTGGGCCATCCTCAATACTTTCCCAGGCCACAAGCAGGGAGCTGGATGGGAAACAGGGCTGCTGGGATTAGAACTGGCGCCCATATGGAAACCTGGAGCGTGGGAAGTAAGGATTTTAGCCACTAGGCTACCATGCTGGGGCCCACCAGCAGCATATCTTTATATGCAACTGGGAGGACCTCATCAAGGAAGGCTTCTAGGAGGTGACCTCAGAGCTAAGTAGGAAAGTATAATTAACGATGCTGGTACTGCTGCACAGTGGGTTGAGCCATCATTCACAGTGCTAGCATCCCATTTGAGTGCCAGTTCAAGTCCTGGCTGCTCCACTTCTGACCCAGCACCTTGCTGATGGCCTGGGTGCCCCCATGAGAGACCCAGATGAAATTCCTGGCCCTCGGCTTTACACGAGCTCAGCTCCACTCATTATGGGCATTTGTGGAATGAACCAGGGAGATGGAAGCTCCCTCTATGTAACTCTACCTGTCAACTAAATAAATCTTTGAAAGTATCTGGAAAGCATAAGAAGGCTGGAGAGGATGGAGGTGATGATGCCTGCAGCTGGGCCCCATCCATCACTCACTGTGTGCTGATACTGTAGAACAGAAAGCTCTTGTAAGACATTTCACTGTGTTAATTATCACACCTACCTTGTACAGCAGGTGCTTTTTATTATCCCCAGTTTACAACGGAGGAAGCTAAGGCACTGACAAGTTATGTAGCTTGTCTATGAAGTCACACAGGAATGATCTTCTGTGTTAGTTTAAGATGTTTGTATCTTATCCTGAGAGTAAGCGGCAACACTCCCCTCCCATTCTAGTCTTGATGGAGGTTTCTTTAAAAAATTTGTATTTTCATTTTATTAGAACGAGAGACAAAAATAAAGAGAAAGAGCTCTATCCATTGGTTCACCCCGCCAAATGTCCACAACAGACAGAGCTGGGCCAGGCTGAAGTCAGAACCCTGGAACTCAACCCAGGTCTTCCATGTGAATGACAGGGTTACAAGTATGTGAGCCATCACCTGTTGCCTCTCAAGGCTGCGCTTAATGGGAAGGTGGATGGAAAGCAGAGGTTGTACTCAAAGCCAGCCTGGAAGCAAGGCAACCAGTGATGGAAGGCAGACCCTAGTGCTGCATCGTAACAGCTGGCCACCTGCCCACCCCTTCACCGGTCTTGAGCAGAGTTGGTGCATGGGTTGCAGAGTTGGAAGGCCTTCTCCCAGACAAGGACTGGACTGGGGTTAAAATCACAATAACAGCAGTGGGGATGGGCAAACCACTAAGGAGGGTCCCCATAACCGCCCCCCCCCATGTCTGCGAGTAAGGAATGGTCCCTTATGCCTCCACTTCTTTACCTGCAAAGGCACAACAATATGCTTGCATTTACCTGCCTTCCGGAATGACTTGAAAATTAGTGGGGCAGAGGCCAGCTGGCTTTCATGTGTTAAACAGCACCCTTGCGCTCCCCATGGAGCACCTGAAATGCTGAATCTGTAAAATATGCTTTGATGGAAGACCTGGAAATAATTATAGCTTGCTAATTATTGTTAATTTTACCATAGCTTTGGAACCCTGGACTTTCTCAATGATTCAAAGAGATTGCAACCCTTGTGTGCCATTAAAGGGGCCAGGCCACCGCAGACAAGCAATTTCTCACAGCCTCCATTCCATTATTGGCGATGGCTCAGCCACGTCTACAGAGATGTACCCTTTTAGAATCAGATCCTACAAGGAATTTTTTAGTTTTGCGGGCTCTTTAAGAAGTGGTTCTTTTTCCTCTCCCTACCCCATTACACCGGGAGCACTGTGGGAAGAAGTGCTTCAGGAACTTTTAACAGAGCCTCCCCCAACTCCCCTCCCCCTAGGGTTTCAGGGTGATGAAGTAACAGAACTTGGCTTTCTCCCCTGCTCCCCCCTTACTCCTTCCTCCCCAGCTTTCCTTGATTCTGTTCTTGATTCCTAACAACCAAGCAGGGTCCCAGGACCGCGGGACTAGGGTCTCTAGGCCTTATCTGTGTGATCTGTGAAATGAATCCAGACCCGGCAAGACACAGTCGAAGAAATGAAAATCATACTAATGCGTATTGTTAGCAGAACTGGGGGAAGAACAAGAAAGTGAGCGGAATTAAGGAAACCATGAGGACAGGGCGTGAGAAAAGAGGGGAGTGGACCGGGACTGCAGTCTCCTCGCCCGGGAAAGCGCAAACGACGCCCAGGATGCGGAGCGAGAGCCGGAATCCGAGCCCAGGGCGGCTCCCTGAGGGAGGGAGCGAGGGAGTCCCCGGGGCCGCAGGTGAGTATCGGTCTTGCCCTCCCCCACCCCGGCTTTCGGTCCGGGGGAGGCGCGAGCACCTGGCCGCCTCTGATCCTATCGCGCACGGCGCTGGGCTGCCAGGGCCTTCCGTGGGACGGAGAGGGGGGGCGGGATGTGTCACCCAAATACCAGCGGGCGAGTCGTGGCGGAACCCGCCGGGCAGGTCGGGCGGAGTATAAGAACCAGAGAGCGGCCGGGCGGTAGAAGCCCGCAGATCTTGCCCCGGTGCAGCAGTTCGGCCGAGCCCCGCCGCCCCGTCCGCGCTTCTCCGCCCCACGATGGCCGGGGGTCTGGGCCTGCTGCTGCAGCTGCTGCTGCTCTTGGCGGCGGTGACGGACCCCGCGGCCGCGCTGAGCAACTGCACGTGCCCCACCAACAAGATGACCGTGTGCGGCCCGGATGGCCCTGGAGGCCGCTGCCAGTGCCGCGCGCTCGGCTCGAACACCGTGGTGGACTGCTCCACGCTGACCTCCAAGTGCCTGCTGCTCAAGGCGCGTATGAGTAACACCAAGAGCGGCCGCGGGCTAGTCCGGCCGAGCGAGCACGCGATCGTGGACAACGATGGCCTCTACGACCCCGACTGCGACCAAGAAGGTCGCTTCAAGGCGCGCCAGTGCAACCAGACCTCGGTGTGCTGGTGCGTGAACTCGGTGGGCGTGCGCCGCACCGACAAGGGCGACCAGAGCCTGCGCTGCGACGAGCTGGTGCGTACGCACCACATCCTCATCGACCTGCGCCACCGGCCGGCCGCGCGCGCCTTCAACCACTCGGAGCTGGACGCCGCGCTGCGCCGCCTCTTCCGCGAGCGCTACCGGCTGCAGCCCCGCTTCGTGGAGGCGGTGCACTACGAGGAGCCCACCATCCAGATCGAGCTGCAACAGAACGCTTCGCAGAAGGCCCCCGGCGACGTGGACATCGCCGACGCCGCCTACTACTTCGAGAGGGACATCAAGGGCGAGTCGCTCTTCGCTGGCGGCGGCGACATGGCCTTACGGGTGCGCGGCGAGCCCCTGCACGTGGAGCGCACGCTCATCTACTACCTGGACGAGCAGCCGCCCCAGTTCTCCATGAAGCGCCTCACCTCCGGCCTCATCGCCGTCATCGTGGTCGTGGTGCTGGCCGTCATCGCCGGCCTGGTGGTCCTGGTGGTCAGCAACCGCAGGAAGTCGGGAAAGTACAGGAAGGTGGAGATCAAGGAGATGGGGGAGTTGAGAAACGAGCCAAATCTGTAGGTGCGCAGCGGGCTTAGGGGAGGGAGATGGGATGGGGTGGCCCCGGCCCAAAAGGGGAAGTGGAGGCTGGGTCCTCGAGTGTTGGCCCGAGGGAGACATTTTTCCCTGGAGACGCCCTGGTTCCCTCTAGGTCTCCTCTCCACCTCCTCCCGGAGTCACACGCCTTACACACTTTTGTATCGAAGGACACATTTTTAAAATTCCTTCCCAACAAGAATGGGGTGGGAAGCCAGCGTGAGCGCAGCCAGCTGGGTTTGCGAGGGACGGAATCCACTTGGAAGGCTTAATTGGGTCTAGATGGGAAGCGGCACTCCTTAGACCGTCTGGGCTACGCACCGTCGGATGGGGGAGCGCCACCTGCTTCCGGAGGGGTTTGGGGAGGGGGCCTGCGAAATACCCCCCTGTCCCGAGGTTGCTGTGACCCACCACGAGTCTGTCGCCAGAAAGAAGCCCATTTCCGCTTCTGAACGCTCTGTAGGCTCTGCAGCTATATTCTGTAACTCGTTTGGATGAAAGTTAATATTAGTTGTTTCCTTTTGTAAAATGTTTGTACAGATTGCCTTTAATAATGCTGCTGTGATTTTTTTTTAAAAAAAAGAAACATAAATTTAATAAAGTGAAAAAAAAGTCCAACCCAAAAGGTGGCACTTGTGAGAACTCCTTTCAGATTTAGGGTATTTGGGGCTCATTTCCCAGAGCTCTGGTTTTTTCTTTTTGTTTTGTATTCCTTAAATCTCAGCTTCTAACACTATTAGGTAGAAGGGACATTTTTCCACGTGCTTCGCGAGTGCTTGCTGGGCTAGCTTCACTGGCCATTGTACCTGTTCTTCGTGTGTAAGATTATTTAGAAGCTTTCAAACTGCAGAGCGAGCTTAAGGCGGAGACGCAGTCTTACTGTTGGTTGGGAAAGGGCAGATGACTTCATCCCAGTGTTGTGCTTGTTGCTGTGATCTTTGCACAGACGGGTGCCCTAAGATTGCACAAGGCTTCTTTCCCTATGAGCTCTAACCACCAGCCCTGTCTCCTTCACACTCAGCTGCTTTTCACTCATTCACATTCATTTATGCAGTAAACAATTACTGGAAAGTGACGCACCAAAGGGTGTGGCCAAGGGAGGGAGTGGTTGCTGTATCAAGTATCCAACAACAAGCTAGATTCAAGACTTCTTTCAGGTCCCTCTCAGCCCAACTCAAGACCGAAACCCGGTACGAGAAGGGAGGGGAAGAGACCAGGCTTGCGACGGGCATTCACAGCTGCTGTCTTTGTAGTATGGGGCCCTGGCTAATATGGCATAGCAGAGTGCACACTTCAGGTCCCCAGAGACCACGCAGAGTGGCAGGTCAGGTGGGATTTAGTAAGGCAGGAGCACCACAGTGGGTGGGGAGCTAGACTACAAGGAAGTGCCCGAGATTAAGAGGGGCTGCTAGCAATGTGACATCACACCCTGTCCCGGAAATGCCCTTCCTCTGATGGTCACCGGTGACCCAACCGCTCATTTCACAGGTGAAAAGAGCAAGTCAGTGACTGATCGAGCTTTAATGTTGTTCTGGCTCAGCTGGGATTAGAAAGCCTCATTGTTCTGAGAGTCACTTGACCCTAGGAAATAAACAGGCCTAAGTGGGCAGCTGGACAAAGGCTGCTCCCGGAGAAAGCCCATTCCTGCAGAATGTCGCTTCTGTTTCTGCCTTACTTTGGGCTGGGGACTCCTTGCTCTTGGCAGCACACAGAATTTGTAAAGGGCTCTCACACACAGTATTTCTTTTGAGATACTGGCTGGCTGAATGACTTTGGGTGTTGACAAAACAGTTCAAATTCTGTGCAAGAAGTTACTTATTTCCCCTGTTTCCCTCTCATGTGAAAGAAACTGTAACTCCCTCTCTTGTGGTTGCACAGGCTGAATGAGGTCATTGATATCAACCCCTGGGATAGCCAGAGTGCTTGGTGACAGTTCAGTGACTCTTATATCTCTTCTCCAGATGATACCCCTGTCACAGGTCCAAAAACAGGTTCAAGAAGGCTGACACATTTGCAAACACACATCATGTATGAAGCCAGAGTTTAGAGAGCTTTTGCCTTGAATTCCTGAACACAGGATGCTCCCCTTGCACCCAGCTGGGTAGAGTCACCTTCCTACTCACCTACTGCAAGAAAAAGCCCCTGACGCATCTATGTTGAGATTCACCTGGCCTCTGTTGAGGACACCGGAGATCTTAAGGGTTTTAGTCTCCACCTCCCGGCTGTTCCCCTCCCAAGCTCAGGCCTCTGGCTGTTCTTCGTGAACCAAGTGAGAAGCAGGTGTGGCTCACCCAGCAGGTCACTACTTGTCCTCCAAGCCTACAGGAGAGACAACTTATTTCCTTGTAAGGGTCACCAGGGCTTTTTCCTCTTGCTAGTTCCAGTGAATTTTTTAATTATTAATTTCCCTTCTGCTTACATGTTTCTGCTTCATTTTTTTCCCCAATCATAAAATGTCAGAGTTGAGACATTTAATCCAACACTCCTGTTCTATAATGAACACACTGAAGCCCAAAGAGGAGATTTTCTCAAGCCTAACAGAGTGGCAGCACCCTGGATCTGACCCTCCTGGGTGTCCTGTGTGTTTTTGCTTGATCATTCCTGTTCTTTTGTGGTTATTTAGCTTGTTAATCTCATTTAAATGGGAGAGATTCTTTGGTTAAATATACAATACATAAACTCTGAAGCTACCCAGCTGCTGTTTTTTTTTTTATTTGTAAAATGGGTGCATTTTTATCTAGCCTGATGGATTGCAAAGATTACACGTAAGATCTGAAAAGACTCAGTATGTCTTTGGTAAGTAAGCAAGGCAGTAGAATCAGGGGGAAAATTTTACCAGTAGCAGCTGAGCTCTTCCTGGTGGAATGTGAATTGAACTTCTACACCACTTTCTCAAAGGGACATCTCTACCCCCAGACTTCTGTTATTGGCAGGCACAGAACAACCTCGGAAGTCTGTGTGTGAAGGCAGAACCCAGCCTCCCTGGCTTGAATAGAGCACCAAGAGGGACTCTCACCTTCAATTGTGATGTGAGAAAGAAATGCCTTCTTTTAAAAAATGATTATTTTCATCTACTTGAAAGGCAGAGCAACTGCAAAAAAAAAAAAAAAATGGTGTGTGAGAGAGCAAGTAATGAGGCCTCCATTCACTGGTTTACTCCCCAGTTGATCACAACGGCCAGGGGTTAGCCAGGCTGAAACCAGGAGCCCAGAACTGTGTTTCCCTGGTGGGCAGAAGGAACCCAAGAACTGGGACCATTGTCTGGTACTTCCCAAGCCACTTAGATATGGGATGAATATGGAATGCTAACATTGACACAGGAGGCTCAGTCCACTCCTCCACAATGTCCACCTGTTTTCCTTTCAAAAAATATGAGTTGAACATCCTTAACCAGAAAACCTGTAAATTGGACTGGTGTTGTGGCTCACCAAGTTAAGCTACCATCTGAGATACTGGCATGTCATATCAGAGTGCCAGCTCACATCCAGGGGGCTTCACTTCAGATCCAGCTCCCTGCTAATGCAGGGGTGTTAGCTATTTTTGCCACAAACCCAAGACACTAAAGCACAAAGAGCCGCATAAGAGGCCATTTATTCCAGTGGGGGAGGCAGTTGCCAGGCAGACAGAAAGTGAGAGCAGAGAGAGAGAGAGAGAGTGCTGGGGAGAGAACAAAGGAGGTGGGAAAGCAGATAGTGCAGAGAGAGATTGAAACAGAAAAGTAGGAAGAAGGCGCCTTTATAGCCTAGATGTGGGTATTGGGAGTGCGGGGTCAGGACGGCTGTGGTTGTAAGCAGACACCCAGAGATAAATGCCTCAGAACTTTGGTGGAGCTGGGCTGTCAGGTATGAGGGTCACAAAGTGCAGTAATTGGCGGAGAGCACAAAGTTAAACAACACAAAGTTTACTTAGGCTAGTGGGATTTACAGTAGTCCTGGGTACGTGGGTATTCAAGGTGGCCTGGGTTCAGGATGATGGGGTCAGCCTACAGGGTAGCTGTTTGAATCGTTCCTTACACCTGGGAAAGCAGCTCAGGATGGCTCAAGAAATTGGATCCTTATCATCCATGTGGGAAACCACGATGGAGTTTCAGGTTTCTGGCTTCATCCTGGATCAGCCTTAGACACTGTTGCCATTTGGGGACTGAATCTGCAGATAGAATAGCTCTTTTTGTCTCTCTCTTTTGCTTTGCCTTTCAAATAAATAAATCTTACAAAAACAAAAGAAAAAAAATTGTGAAATGCTCCCAAAATTATAACCTTTTGAGTGTTAATATGATGGCCACAGGAGAAAATTCCATCTCTAACCTCCTGCCTCTTATCATCCTTACAATGCAGATATACTGAAAATACTGTGTGAAATCACCATTAGGCTGTGTATATGTGGTATATAAGAAACATAAAGGATTTTTGTATTTAGACCTGTTTCCTATACCCAAGGTCTCTCTCTCTGTATGTGTGTGTGTTTCTGTATGTATATGAAAATATTCTAAATTCTAGAAAAATCCTCAAATCTAAGTACTTCTGGTCCTAAGCATTTTAGATAAAAGATGCTAATGACCAGCATTTGAGTATAGCAATAGAGATGTTGTTTGAAATATCCTCATTGCTGTCACAGTGCCAAGGTGCAAGTTCCAGCTTCATTTCCAATTAGCCTTCCGCTAATGCACACCCCGGGAAGCGGCAGGGTGGCTCAAGTGCTCCCCGAAGCCCACATGGAAGGAGACCTGCATGGAGCTGCGGTCTGCCCGCTCCTGCTGCCCCAGCCCCGACTACTGCAAAGATGAAGGGAGTGACCCAGGAGATGAAAGATACCTTTCTCTCTCTGCCACCCTCTATTGCCTTTCAAATAAAACGTTATACTCGACCTGTACTTTATTGTGGGGTCTCTGCAATGGTCTTTTATTTTAGCTTAATCTTTTGGCCTCATTGATATGGATAGAAACATTGTTATTTCTGTAACAGATGAGAAAATTATGAGATAGAGAAGTTAAATTACTTGCCTAACAAGTGGCGTATCTTGAGTTAGTACCCAGACATGTTGTTCCTTAAATCCATGTTCTTAAACAGTATGCTACACTGGCTTTTGGCAACTGATAAAATTTCCATTTAACCAAGATAAATCTCTGGCCACACACATCAGAAGGTGAAAATCCTGAAGCAATGACATGTTGCAGAAAGAAAGGCTAGTAAAGCGGCCAAGTACTGAGAAAGGAGCAATGCTACACTACCTCTATGCTTTTATGTAAATTGTATAATGATTAAAATTTATTTTGGTGATCAGGAAAAAGCAAAATATTACTTAAAGGAAGAACAGTTCAATAAGATATATTATTTAGACTTCCATGCAAATCTTTAGAAAATGCTGAATAACCAGCAGACTAAATTCTGTCTTTAGGTTTAATCAGACAACTAAATACTGTTAAAACAATTCTTTTTTTTTTTTAAAGATTTATTTTTATTATTTTTTTTATTGGAAAGGCGGATATACAGAGAGGAGAGACAGAGAGGAAGATCTTCCGTCCGATGATTCACTCCCCAAGTGAGCGCAACGGGTCGATACTATGCCGATCCGAAGCCAGGAGCCTCTTCCGGGTCTCCCACGTGGGTGCAGGTTCCCAA